TGGTTTTTCTTTTTGGCAGAGGACACCAAATCGGATTTCATGGTTCGGGCGTTCCTGGGGCCTTTGGCAATGAATTCGGACGGATTACGTGCGGAATCACAGGCCAAACATTGAACCAACGACCGCGCGCGGCGAATCACAGACCGCGCGCGCCGAATCACGGACAGCACACATTGAATCACAGACAGCGCGCGCCGAATCACAGACAACACGCATTGAAGCACAGATCGCACGCGACGAATCACAGACAGCACACATTGGATCTCAGACCGCGCGCGCCGAATCACAGACAACGCACATTGAATCACAGATCGCATGCGACGAATCACAAACAGGACACATTGAATCACAAACCGCACGCGACAACTCACAGACCGCACATACTGAGTCATACATTGCACACGACGAATCCCAGACCGCACAATGAGTCACAAATCACAGAAGCCGAATCACAAATGATCCCAGTGCGACCCTACATAGGAGTTGGAGCCCCCTAGGAAAGCAGCATTAGTACGAACAGTAAAGCTAACACTAAGCTAAAGCTAAGTTAAAACTAAACTAAAGCTAAGCTAAAGCTAAGCTAAAGCTAAGCCAAACTGAGCTCAAGGTAAGCTAAAGCTAAGATGAAGCTAAGCTAAAGCTAAGCTAAAGCTAAGCTAAGGCTAAGCTAAGGCTAAGCTAAGGCTAAGCTACCGCTAAGCTAAGTCTGAGCTAAAACTAAGGTGCAGATAAGCTAAAGCTAAGCTACAGCTAAGCTAAAACTAAGCTAAAGCTACGGTAAAGGCTAAGCTACAACTAAGCTAAAGCTACGGTAAAGGCCAAGCTAAAAAGTTAAGCTAGAACTAAGCTAGAGCTAAGCTAAAGCTAAGCTAAAGCTAAGGTGCAGCGAAGCTAAAGCCAAGCTAAAGCTAAGCTAAAGCTAAGCTAAAGCTAAAGTACAGCTAAGGTACAGCTAAGCTCAAGCTAAGCTAAAGCTAAGCTGAAGCTAAGCTGAAGCTAAGCTAAAGCTAAGCTGAAGCTAAGCTAAAGCTAAAGCTATAACTAAAGCTACGGTGCCGCTAAGCTCGAGCCAAGCTAAAGTACAGCTAAGGTACAGCTAAGCTAAAGCTAAGCTGAAGCTAAGCTAAAGCTAAGCTAAAGCTGAGCTAAAGCTAAGCTGAAGCTAAGCTACAGCTAAGCTAAAGCTAAGCTAAAGCTAAAACTAAAGCTAAAGCTATCAGGGGACTGGGGGAACCGTGGGGCGGGGACTGGGGGAACCGCCCGGGGCGTGTTACACTGCCCGGCCCCTTTAAGCTAGAGAGTAAGAACCCTTCTAGGCAGAACCTATGTAGGGAACCAAATCTTTAATCGCAGACTGCGCAGAATAAAATCGGAGACCGCCCGAAAAAGAAACGGTCGCAATGGAATCCACGTTTGGAGGCAAATTTCAAGAAAAGAACACTGGTTTCTGTAATAGCGGATTTTGATTTCAATAACCGGGCCCGGGTTTTCATACTTCTAATTGCGGCCTGGGTGTCCAAAGCGCGCCCCATAATTGCGAACCCGGGTTTCCATACTTTCACAGTCGGGTTTGCATAATTGCTGATTTAAATTTCCGTCAAAGACGTGGATGACAAGGACAAGGAAAATAAGGAGGAGGCACAATAATCCATTGGCGAACTGCTTTTGTTCCCAACCATCTACCAGTGTTGGGTCCTCGTTTTCAAGACACAGTTCCCCGCGTTTACTCCTCCTTCCTCCTCCTCCCTCCCCCCATCATCATCACCCATTTCCGTGCACCCCTCGCACGTTTCGTGCACCGAATTTCAGTGGCTGTGTTCGCTTTTGCGGCGCACGCGGTTCCACCCCTTGTTTCGGCAGACCCCTCACACGTTTCGTGGCCCCATAAAGAACTCCACCGAGGGCCCCAATGGCTGCGTTCGCTTTTGCGGCGCATGCGGTTCCTTTCCCCATTTCGGCACACCCCTCATGCGTTTCGGGGCCCCATAAGGAACTCCTCTGGATGCCCCAGTGGCTGCGTTCGCTTTTGCGGCGCATGGTGTTCCACCCTCCCATTTCGGCACGTCCTTCACACGTTTCGTGGCCTCATAGGGAGCTCAACCGAAGGTCCCAGTGGCTGCGTTCGCTTTTGCGGCGCATGCGGTTCCTTTCCCCATTTCGGCACACCCCACGCACGCTTCGTGGCCACATAGGGAATTTCACCGAAGGTCCCAATGGCTGCATTCGCTTTGGCGGCGCATGCTTTTCCACCCCCCCATGTCGTCAGCACACCCCTCACACGTATCGTGGCGCCATAGGGAGCTCCACAAAAGGTCCCGGTGGCTGCGTTCGCTTTTGCGGCGCATGCGGCTCCTTGTTGCGGCACACCTCTCGCAAGCTTCGTGGCCCCATAGGGAGCTCCTCCGGAGGCCCCAGTGGCTGCGTTCGTTTTTGCGGCGCATGCGGTTCCACCCCCTGTTTCGGCACACCCCTCACGCGTTTCGGGGCCCCATACGGAACTCCTCTGGATGCCCCAGTGGCTGCGTTCGCTTTTGCGGCGCATGCGGTTCCAATTTCGGCACGCCCCTCACACGCTTCGTGGCCCCATAGGGAGCTCCACCGAAGGCCACATAGGCTGCGTTCGCTTTTGCAGCGCATGCTGTTCCACTCCCATTTCGGCAGCCCCTTCACGCGCTTCGGGGAGCTCCACCGAAGGTCTTCATGGCTGCGCTCGCTTTTGCGGCGCATGCGGTTCCACCCCCTGTTTCGGCACACCTCTCGCACGCTTCGGGGCCCCATAGGGAACTCCTCTGCAGGCCCCATTGGCTGCGTTCGCCTTTGCGGCGCACGCTGTTCCACCCCCCATTTCGGCACGCCCTCACACGTTTCGTGGCCTCATAGGGAGCTCCATCGAAGGCTTTCGCTTTTGCGGCACATGCGGTTCCCCCCCCCGTGTCGGCACACTCCCGACACGTTTCGTGGCCCCATAGGGAGCTCCAGCATAAGGCCCCAATAGTTGCGCTCGCTTTTGCGGCGCATGCGGTTCCACCCCCAATGTCGGCACACCCCTCGCCTGTGGGCAGGGGGGGCCTGGGCCGTGGTGGCGGCTGGAGGAGGAAGAGGAGGAGAAAGAGGAATAATTAGAGGGAAAGAGGAGAAGGAGGATGAGGATGAGGAGGAGAAATAGGAGGAGGAGAAGGGGGAAGAGGAGAAAGAGGAGGATGCCCTGCTTCATGTTAGCCCAACCGCTCGCCTGAGACATGTTCGCGCCTCTGGGCCCCGAAGCGCCCTCAGATGGCCTCAGCTGGTGTTGTCCGGTCGCTCCCGCTCAGGAGTTCCTCACCCATTCCGATTTGGCGGCGGCCCGCCCCATGCCCACGCGCACGCACGCCGCCTGCATTCGAAACTACAAGGAACAAGGTGCATTGGCGCGAAGCGCCAATGCAGTCTTGCAGGCTATATATGCACACGCTAGAACCATCGCGCGCGCTTCGCGCGCGCTCAAGTTCTAACTACGGTCATGATCATCATGACAATTGTCATCCTCATCAATGTCCTCCTCTTCCTCCTCCTGCTCCGGGGAGCTCAGCCCGTCTTGGGGCCCTCCTGGGGCCTTTCCTACCATGTAGGAATCCTCTGGTGGCCCTCGGGTTTCCTGGGTACTCTCTTGGGCCGTCTTGTAGCTCTTCTGTGCCGCTTTGAGCTTCTTTCAGCCCATCTTGGAACCCTCTTTGGGGCCTCTGGGGCCGTCTGGGGCCCATTTTGGTAACCTCTTGGGCCGTCGCGACCGCTGGTAAAACTAAAAAGCGAAGCTCCCAGAAATATACGTTTCCCACAGGACATGCTTGATTTTTGCCTTTGGAGGGCCTTCTCAGCGGCCTCTTGGACAGTCGTGGGGGGGTCCTTTTTGGGCCTTTTGTGGCCTGTCTGGGGGCCCACTTCGGCTGTCCCAAACCCCTCTTGGCATGTCATGGGTAGCTGAGCCGTCTTGGGGCCTTCATGGAGCCCTCTCCGACCATGTAGGGATCCTCGAGTGGCTCCCTTGGACCGCCTGGGGACTCTCTTGGGCTGTTTTGGAAATCTCTTGTGCTGCTAGACGCTCTCTTGAGGCTGTCTTGGAACCCTCTTGGGGGCCTCGTGGACCGTGTGGCGCCGATCTGGGGAGTCTTTGGGGCCGACGTGGCCGCCGATGGAACATAAGAAACTACTATCATAGAAGCATTTTTTGTCCATGGGAAATGCTATTCCTGGAACCTGGGAGCCTTCTCAGCGGCCTCCCGGACCGTCTTAAGGGAATCCTGGTAGTCCTTTTTCGGACGGACCCTCTGGGAGCCCAGTTCGGCCGTTCTGGGTCCCTCTTCGCCCGTCATGGGGACCTGAGCCCGTCTTGGGGCACTCGGGGGGTCCGCTCCGACCATGTAGGGATCCTCCGGTGGCCCTCTCGGGGTTCCTGGGTACTCTCTTGGGCCGTGTTGGAGCTCTCTTGTGCTGCTTGTAACTCTCTTCAGGCCGTCTGGGGGCCCTCTTGGGGGCCTCTTGGGCAGTCTGGGGCCAATTTTGGGAGCCTCTGGGGCCGTCACGGCCGCAAGTGGAGCTGAACCGCAAAGATCCAGGACATATACGCTTTGCCACATACTTGATTTTTGCCCTTGGAGGGCCTTCTCGGCGGCCTCTTGGACCGACTCTGGGCTCTTCGAGCGCTCGCGGCCCGTCCGGAAGCCATCTCAGTGCACTCTTCAGCCACCTTCCAGACAACCTGGGGCGCTTTGGGTGCCTCTTGGGTCAGCCTGTGAGCCTCTGGGGGGGTCGGGGGCCCCTTCTGACCCCTCTTGGAGCCCTCAAAGCCCCACCGGCCCTCCATGCGAACCAATGGTCGCAGTTCTGGGCCCTCCCCCGGCCTACTCCGATACATATATACATATATATATATATATATGTATATGTGTATATATATATATACACATACATATATATATATATATGTAATGCAAGAATCTCGGCCTCGGACCAAGCCGCCACTTTTCAGCCTCTTTCCCGCTGGTGCCAGCATCGAGTACCCCACGGTCTACAGTCTAGGCCGCCTCCTGGTGCTGAGCCCTGCTCGCTCAGCCTGGTCGCCGCCGCGGGAACGCGGCGGTTCTGCCGCGCCCTTCCGCGAAGAGCACCGTACGGCAGGCGTCGCATCGGACCCCACGCGTCTTGCACGCGTGAGGAATGACTCGCGTCTGGGCCCCCGGCCGGCGCAGCTGCTCCGTGTGGCCGCCGCGGCCGGGCTCTCTGGCAGTGTTGCGTCGGAGCGCGGCCCCGCTGGAGGGCTGCCTGCCCGCCCACCGCGTTTGCAGCGGCTCGCCTCCGACCTTCCTTCTTTCAAAAGCTTGGACTTCAGGGGCTTCTACTTGGACTCCTAAGCAGGCGGGCCGGTCCGCCGAGAGTTTCGCCACGTGCTAGCTCGTGGGCGCCCCGTTCGCTGGGTAGGTTTGCCGATTGGCCGCCCGTGGGCACCTCGTTGGCGCCCCGTGCGCTGGCTGGGTCCGCCGTGGTTTCGCCTGGTGGCCGCCCGCGCTTGTTGCACCACACAGCCTGAACCACACAGTAGCTTGCACCGTATAGCTCGCACCGCATAGCCTTCGCCGCATGGCTTACACCACATAGCTTACACCTTCCAGTCGCACCACATAGTCTACGCACTTGCAGGGCGTAGCTTGCACCAGACAGCTGCGAACTTACAATCTAGCAACGTGGCTCACACCACAGAACTTCAACCTCCACAGTGCAATCACGCACTGTTTGGGGCCCAGGCTGGGCAATCTTTGCTTGCTCTTTTCTCGATCATCTCGCTCCCTGCGGAGCGGCAGAAGAGTCCGCGCTCCCGCATCGAGCCCAACATTTGCTCACCCGCTGCGCCAAGATCCCGATCACGCTCTTCGCCTCCCCGCGTGCCAAGACCAACCGATGGTGATGGGGGTGCGCCATCCTGCGCCCCCCCCCCCCCCTCCGATCAGTCTCTCGCGTCGCCTGGGCCTCGCCTCGTCCGACTGGGCCTCGCCTCCCCTGGCGGAGCGGGCTCCAGGCGAAACGAGCCCCGGGCGAAACGCGTCCCTGCCCCCCCCCCGCCTCAGAGATACGACACGATAGGCTTCTTCGGTGCGCGGCCCGATGGCTGCCCACCCGTTCCCTAGGTGCAACTTCCAGGGAAACAGACAAAGACATAAGCAAAACAACTCGGAGGTCCGCGCGGATTTCTCGGATCGGCGCTGGACTAGGGTAGGGGAACGCAGAGTGACATAAACATAAAAGCTCGGAAGTCCGTGCCGTGTTCTCGGATCGCGAAGGACCCCCTCACTGGCGCGCGGAACGCGCCAAGGGCGGCGCCGGAAGCGCTGCCAGGAGGGCCCCGCGCGGATCCGAGAAATCCGCTGACCTCAGAGTTTGTATGTTCAACTTATTCTTCGTTCCCCTATGGACCCTCCTCGCTGGCAAGCGCAGCGCGCCTGGGGCAGCGCCGGAGGCGCCGCCAGGGGACCCCAGCGCCTATCCGAGGAATCCGCGCGGACCTTTGAGTTCTTATGTTTATGTCATTGTTGGTTCCCCGGGGAGCTACGGAGCTGTGGGTATGGCGACAGTGTCGGTTGCTGTGGAAGCAGCTGTTCCCCAGCTGCTGCTTCGTGCCTCGACCTCTTGGCTCGTTCTGCTTTGCTGAGAACCTTTTGCCAAATACCGCGGCTGGAATTATTGCGATAATCGGCACGATTACCTGACACACCATTGGCACATTCACTTCCGAGCTCACACACCTGCTGAGAAGCATAACATCCACATAAAGCACAATACCAAAGCTGAAGACCCGTGTGAAAGAAAACTTTATGCGAGAAATACACATACCCCCCCCGAGATGTGCACGCTCGGAGGAAGGAGAGGAGGAGGAGGACAATACGAGGAGAATCGGAGAAGGGATGCCCCCCCTTCGAGCGCGGTGGCGGACTCGCGCGGCAGCGCCACAACCGGATGGAGACGAGCCTGCCCACGGGCCGGCACCCACCGGCCGCGAGGGGGCTCCCCTGGGCTACAGGCGGCCGCGCCCCCCCTGCGCGTTTGCCGGGCTCGAGGGGCGCAGCCGCTGGGGGGAGGGATGGACTGAGGAGGGAGGGACGGAGTGCAGGAAGGATGATGATGATGCTGCTGCTGCTGCTGATGATGATGATGATGATGATTATGATGATGATGATGGTGGTGATGATGATGGTGATGATGATGATAATGATGATTATGGTGCTGATGCTGATGCTGATGCTGATGATGGTGGTGATGATGGTGATGATGGTGATGATGATGACGATATTGTTGAATACGAGGGTCATCATGACATACTATGAAGTGGATGATGCGGATGCTGATGAGGATGATTCAGGGTTCATGATACATGGTTCATGATGATGATGACGATGGTGGTTATGATGATGGTGAGGCAAGAACGACGAGGAGCCTCGCGCGTTCGTGGGCGAAGAGGGGGAGGAAGCGGAGGGGGGGGGGGGCGGCTGAGGATGAGGAGGAAGGAGGAAGGTGCGAAGGTGCTCCTGAATTAAGGAGGGTGGGGGGTAGGCGATGAAGCGGCAGGAGGGAAAAGTAGGGATTCTGCAGGGAGGCGGAGCGAGTAGGCGGAGGCACCTCGAGTACAGTTGGATGATGAGGGGACAGTCGGGAGGGAGGAGGGAGGAGGGCTGTCTGGCCAAGATCGGCTTCACCCCTCACCCCGACTGAATCCAGCCGTGGCGAGAAGAGCCTCCCTCCCGAAGGCAACACCTGTGAGGAGGATGAGAGAGGACAACGAAAACAAACCCATACCTCTGATATGATTCTTTGTTGGTGGTAATTCTTGGCTCGAAAACATGCGGTGCCTGTACTGTTTTTGCATTGAAGTGCCCCTCTGAGGGCTCGCACCCTGCTTTCTACAACAGAAGATCTTGCGCCTCAGACCGGGTCCCTGGCCTCTTGTTTCCAACAACGGCTCTCACCATGTACATCCTCACGCGTCCTCCAGTTTGCAACACCAGCGGCTCCCGCCTTGTACTTCCTCGCAACTATTTGAAATCGCGCTCTCGTGGACGCTCTTACACCTTATCCAGGTATCGCGCTCTCGCGTGGGACTTTTTCGCAATTTATTCAAACGCTGCGCCCTCGACACTCAGGAATCATACTCTCGCCGCTCTGAACTTCCTCACGCTTTTACTTCTGACTTTCGCTATCGCTCGAGAACTCCTCGCGACTCATCCAGGGCTGACGCTTTGGCGGCCGCCCGCTCGACCCCGCCGTCTGGGCCCGCACGCCCGAGTCTGGTTGTGCCGTTTGTTTTCCTGATGCGGACCACTCCTCCTGCTAATGTCTGTCGTGCTCCATCCTTCTCCCTCCTTCGTTCCCCTTTCGCACCTCCCCCCCTTTCCGCAGGCCATTTGTCTTTGTTCTGTCTCCTTCCTCTTCCTGTTTTTGGGGCTGCTCCAACTACACGTCGCATGAAGGAAGACATGCCCCCAAGGGGGGCACGATCGAAAACGAAAAGGGCGAGTATCGAGGGATTGGGATGCAACCGCTGATTGACGTACGAGCAGATGAGAACGAGCAATCTTAAACTGGTTGTCGTTGCAACGTTATTCATTTCCAACGCTTCTAATTGAGTCCCCCCCTCCGGTGCCCGTTCTGTTTTTGAATTGAAGTGCCAATCCCAAGGCTCGCACCCCGCTTAACCACAAAAAACATCTTGTGCCTCAGACTGGGCCCCTGGCCGCCGGTTTGCAACAACAGCGGCCCCCGCCTTGTACTACATGATATTCAAAATCGCGCTCTCGCGCTGCATTTCCTGACACTTTATCCAGGTATTGTGCTCTCGCGTTGTAATTGTAGGAATCACGCTCTCGCTCTGGCGCTATCGCTTGAGGCTTCCTCGCGCTGCATGCAGAACTGACGCTTCAATCGCCCGCTCGACCCCGCCGTCTGGGCTTGCCTGCCCGACCAACCCGTTTGGGCCCGCCCGCCCGATACGCCCGTCTGGTTCTGCCGCTTGTCTCCCCGCTCCACACCCACTCCTGCTCATCTCTCGCGTGCTCCATTATTTTCCCTCCCCCTTGTCCCTTCCCTCCTCCCTCCTTTGCCCTGTGTCAGCTCCAACTAAAAACGTCGCAGGCAAGGAAGATATGTCCCCAAGGGAATACGATCGAAGACCAAAAAGGCGAGCACCGATGGCTTGGGACATGTTTAGTGACACCCGAACAGATAAGAACGAACAATCTTAATAGGATTCAATTTTCTAAAGAACACGCCACCGCACCGCCGGGCACGGAGTGGGCGCGTCCTCAAGTCCATTGCCTCATCCCCTGAGCCTCAATCCTCGTTCCTTAGGGTTCTTAAATGGCCTGGACCCCGAATTCACAAATCTCCTTGATCTTCCGCATCCCCCCGCGTGATTTTTTCGGGCCCAAGAGGGCCCCAAGACGGCTTCGAGACGCCCGAAGACCGCTCCAAGACGCCCACGGTGGCCCCCAGACGGCCCAAGAGACCTCCAAGACGCCCACAGAGGCCTTCAAGAAGCCTCCCAAGATGGCCCCAATATGCCAACATCATTGACTTACACACGGTTTTTGAAGATTTCTGGCGTTCTCGCCCTTTCGGTTTTCCGACGCTCCTAGGCGGCCCTAGAGGTACCAAAGATCGCCCCAAGAGGCCTCCAAGAGGGCCCCGAAACGGCCCAAGACGGCCCCAAGATCTCAAGAGGCGCCCAAGAGGGCCCACGAGGCTCCAAAGATGGCTCCAAGAGGGGTCCCAGATGGGGACCCGAGCGGACATTTCGAGCCCTCGGCCCCGAGGGGCCCCCCAGGAGGACCCAAGAGGCCCCCAAGAGGCCAAGAACGCTCTGAAGAGACCCCAAGAAACATCCCTGAGAACTCCGACCCGCAACCCAGGCACGGGGGCGTCATGGGCCGAATGCCATTCGATAACTTTTATGAGCGCCCCCTCTGGTGTGAATTGTGTTTCTTCAATTGGAAGTGCCCCTCCCGGGGCTCGCACCCAGTTGTTTACAAGGGGGAATCTTCGGCCTCCGACTGGGCCCCTGGCCTCCGAACGTCAACGCCCCTGGCCCCCTCGCGATTTATTCAAAATCGCGTTCTCGCGCGGGTTCTGACAATTCATCCAAGAATCGCGCTATCGCGTGGGACAGTCTCGCCATCTGCTGCCACGCCACATCCTCAACATTCAGGAATTACGCTCTCGCTTTGGATTTCCTCGCTATTTACTTTGGACTGGCGCTATCGTTAGAACTTCCTCGCGATTCACGCAGAACTGACGCTTCAGCTGCCCGTCCGCTCGAGCCCACCGTCTGGGCCCGCCCGCCCGACCCGCCCGTTCGGGTCCGCCCGCCCGCCCAAGCCGCCCGTCTGGTTCTGCCACTTGTTTCTCTGCTCCTGACCACTCTCATGCCAATCACTGTCGTGCTCCATTCTTCTCTCTCCGTTGTCCCTTTCCTCCTCCGTTCCCCTATTTTAGGGGCTGCGCCAACTACACGTGGCAGGCAACGAAGATGTACCCCCAAGGAGGGTATGATCGAAGACGAGAATGGCGGGTGTCGCTGGTTTTGGGATACGGATTTTGAATGACACGGGAGCAGATCAGAGCGAACAATCTGAACATTATTGCTGCTGCTGTTGTTGTTGTTGTTGTTGTTGTTGCTGTTGCGACATGGGCCCCGGGAGCCCTCGACCTCACCCCCAGGACACTTGTTTCGTCGCGGGACGTTTCTGAGCGCACGCCGATTTTGACTTGGAAAAGTCTGGCGGTCATGGCATCCATCCCCAATGTCGACCCTCGGGCATGTCCTCGAGCGCGTCCTGGCCTGAATGCCGAAGCGAGTGCAGCGGCGGCGACCAGGGCTGCCCAGGAGGCCCCCCGAGTGGCAGCAGACATCGTATCCTCTCCCCGAGGAACAGCGGGGCAGACGTCTCTGCAAGATTCTCTCCAGGAATGCCCGGAGGCCTCTGAAGGTCCATGGAGGCCTGCCAGTGGTCTTGGAGGCTCCTGGCAAAACCTGAGAACGCGGGGCGAGGTACTCCTTGAGCCGCGGGCCCCTCAGGGCCTGGCGGCTGCGGTATGCAGTCGTCCTTCGTCGAAGACGCGAGGCGGGATACTCAGAAAGCACCGGGACCCCGTGGGGCCTGGCGGCCGCGGTATGCAGGGCGTGCCATTGCGGTTCGGGAGCTCCTCCCTGAAAATCTGACCCCCCCCCCCGGTCGAGTCGTGAATCAAGAACCTAGGACCTCGATCGGAGGTGGATACCGCCTCTCCCTGGACCTCTCTCGGGGTGCGTTCTGACCCTGCCTTCGAGGCGAATCCAGCCGTAGCGGCGAGGGAAGGGCAGCGGTATCGGTATGTTTTTCCCTCGTAGCGTTTCGCTACAGGGTTCTGGATAAAAGAGAGACCTCAAACAAAAATCCCACAAGAGGGGGAAGGGGAGCCCGATGTACCGCCCCCCGAGACGGCCTGGTCCGGAAACGGGCCAGCGTTTCGCCGCAGACTTCCTCGCCAGTTCTTGAGGAGCCGTGCTCTCGCCTCAATTCCTGCACATGTCCGGTCTGGACGGTCACGATCCCGTGTGGCACAATGCGCTACGGTGCACATGGCCGTGCCTCGGCCTCCTGATCCTCGACCTGCCTCTTCACCCTTTGTGATATTAAGGCACTTTGCTGGGGTAAGCCTCCTCGGAGGGGCAAAGCCGTCCGCGGCGACAGCAAAACCGAAAACCGACCCAACCGACACCGAAACCGCAACCGAACGAAATCGACAGGCCGCAAGCAACCTACAGGGCGCAGCGACGCAGCAACAACACACAACAACCGGCCGAAAACAACCGACTGCAACGCAACCGAACCCACCGAAGCGCAAACACCCCCTGAGGGGGAGAGGAGGAGGGGGGTGCAGGTGCAGACGAGCTTAGCTGGAGCGCTTTGGGGGAGGCGTCGGTGAATCCTTCGCTGCCCGTGGCCCTCTCTGTCTCTCTCTCTCTCTGTCTGTCCGTTCAACTCTCTGTCTTTCTCTCTCTCTCTCTCTCTCTCGCTCCATTATGTGGCACGTTTGTATCTTTTTTCCTCTCTCTCTCTCTGGCACATAGCCGTACCTCGACCTCCTGCTCCTCGACCCGCCTCCTCATCCTGCTTTAGGGCGCCTTGCTGGGGTAATTCCTCCTCCTCCTCCTCCTCCTCCTCCTCCTCCTCCTCCTCCTCCTCCTCCTCCTCTCCTCTGAGGGGGGGAAAGGGGCGTGCAGGTGTTGCTAGAAGTGCCCCTGGCCCAAGGTGCCCCCTGCTTTTCGCTCCATTTTGGCGCCCCTGGAGCTCTCTGGGCCTCGTGAGGGGTGCTCTGGAGACCGCTCGGGGTACCCCTGGAATCCTGGGGGCACCTTGGCCCATGGGGCACTTCTAGCAACACCCGAAGGGGAGGGGAGGGAGCGTGCAGGTGAAAACGAGCACCGGCTCATCGAATTAGTCGGCCCTGACAGCTGCCTCGCAGCTGCGCCTCGCGAGCTGCGGCCTCGCCCTTCCCCTTGGCCTGCGGTCCCCCGTCTGTGGGGCCGCGCCGCAGCCCGTGCCGCGCCGCCTCGGGAGGGAAGATGACGACGCAGACGACGAGGACTACGACGAGGACCAGGACGTCGACGACAGCGGCGAAGGAGCGACCACAACGACGACGACGACGACGACGACGACGACGACGACGACGACGACGACGACGACGACGACGACGACACCGGCAACGGCGGCGGCGGCGGTGGCTGTGGCGGCGGCGACGACAACGACGACGACGCGCCGCGTCGCGCCGCCTCGAAGGGGGAGGGGAGGGGCGTCGAGGGTCGATAGGCTGTGGGCTTCTCTTTTGTGCTTGCCCCAGCTCCCCAGACCCCATCTCGTCATGAACAGAAGCACGTGTGGAGGTTTTTGGCAATTTTCCGCCCCTAGGGGCCCATGACAGGCCCCCCCAAGGCAATCAAGAAACGACTCAGGGTGAAAGCTGATCCCGGGAAGTGGGTCGAGATTTCTGGGGTCAACGTTGCGAAGAATCACAACGTCGGGGGTCTGGATCTCCTGTGCTGTGCGGGGTCTGTCGCGCTTTCGTGATCGCCTGTGGGGTCCAGCAGAGTGCGGTGCTACACGGATCCGAAGTAGACTCCCTCCCTAGAAGCTGCTAACTGCATCTGTCGCCACTTTCGTGATCTCCTGGGAAGTCCAGCGGGGTGATGTTTGACGGGGGTCACATCTGACTTCCCCTTTGTATGCGCCGCCAACTACGCAACTGTCGCCGCTTTGTCAGCTTTTGGGAGGTCCAGCGGAGTGACGTCTCATGCATGCGATTGACTGTCCTTCGATGTCGCCAAAGTCCCCCATGGGCCCATGTGGTTCGCAGAAGGGACGGCGTCAATTCGTCTGGCGTGAGCCCGTTGATATTGCCGCTTGCTTGAGATGGGTTGGGTACGTTCCTGGGTGTATCCCCCCCTCCCCCCTTTCCCCCTGCAGAGGCCTCAAGAGGCCTGCCTCCCTGGTCCTCCGCGGAGGCCACCCTGGGACCACTGGAAAATCTCTGCTGGGCACGCGCTGGCATGGACTACGGATCCGTGGATCTGGCGAGTAGGCGCCCGATCCTCATTTCAGGGAGCGAAACCTCGAACCATGAGGCCAGTGCCGTCTGATTGGCGACGGAGAGCACAAACATCGTATGGAAGCGGGGGCCGTCGTTAGTCCACGCGCCCTAATCCATGTCTGCGCTTCCTCGACCCTGGAGGATCCCTGGGGCACTCTCCCCCCCCTCCCCCCCGTGTTGATTCAAGACGCCCTTCGTGCTTTTTGGGGCCCGTCGCCGCGGCCGGATTCGCGTCGGGCACTTCACTAGAATGTGCCCCGAGGAGAGGCAGGGTGGGGTCTCCAGGAACCGCCTGAGCTGAATCAGGCGCGACACCTCATCTGGCCACTGCTTTTCTGGGCGGGGTCTGATTTTTTGGGGGTCTGGTTTGAGCTTTCTTGGAGGGTTCTGGGGGGTCTGGGCAACAGGCCGCTCCTTCATGGCTGGTTTGGAGGGGGTCTAAAATTGCTCGTCTGGGAGGGTTGTGACCGCCTCCTTTCCTATGTCATCCCGTGTAGCCTCGGCCACGACGAGGCTCCCTGACCCAGACCTACAGCACGGGGCGAAAACCAGAGCCCCTCCAGAGCTCCCCAACCCCTCTCCAGAGTTGTGCGTGTCATCCGTGCGCAGATTCCATCGCACATTTTTTCCTCGCCGTTCCAAGTTTTACGGATCCCCCACCAGAAACCGTGCCCCAGGAGGAAAACGATGAGGCTGATGAGGGCTTTCCTCTCCCTCAAAGTCGATCCCCGGACCGTCCCTGGAGGCATTCGAAAATCTCTCCAAATCCACGAGATACCAAAACCCTGGAAGAGTTCAAGGCCCACCCTCCTGGAAGACCCGGTCGAGAGAAGTATCGTAAAAATGAAAGGACCCCAAAAAGAACGGGTCCTAGACCACTTGAGGGGTCCCCCTGGACTAGCGTTTCTTCCTGCGACGTTTTCGGACCGCCCTGGTGCCCAGGACGGGCCCCGTGCAGCGGACAACGGGGAACGTCGAGGAGGAATCCGGCCGTGGTGACGAGAAGGCAGGAAAGCCTGGATCCTTGATTGTCAAAGATCGATGGGGAAGTGAGGGAAAAAGATTGCACGCCCAGGAGGGGGAATAGAGAGAAAGAGAGGTTCACCCAAACTCCCTAAGATTGTGTTGCTCCCATCGTACTTAAGGACACATCCCAGAAATAATTTCGAGCACCCAGAGAAGTGTTGAAATAATGTCGAAACAATGTCGGACGAGTGTCTCCCAGGGCCCGGCACGTGAAAACCCTCGAGTTTGGGTACATTTTCTGGTGGTCGAGGTTATTTTCTGGCTATCAAGGCTAAAGTAGGTTGGAACGTCATACCCTGGGGGGGTCAGTCGGAGAGGACCTTTGTGTCACCGCGTGCGGCTGACAGGACGCCCCCTAGGAGAAAAGATCGTCATCCTCCGTCAGGATCGGCTGCCAGAGGAAAAGCGCCACCAAGCTCGCGTAGGTGAGGAGGAGGAGGAGGAGGAGGAGGAGGAGGAGGAAAGGGAGGAGGAGAAAAACCAGGACGAGGAGGACGGGGCAGAGGAGCAGAAGAAGGGCCAGGAAGAGCATCCTGGCGAAGCAGGAGGAAGAGGCGGACCCCCCCCCCTCCCGCTGGCCTGCGGTGGGCGGCCAGCGTGCCGTGCAGTCCCTGGTCGTCCTCCTCACGCCGCGAGGCCGATCTGCCTCCTGTCGGTCGGGAGGCAACGGGGTGGACCTGCGGTGATCTCGTGTGGCGTCGGCGCGCGCGAAACTTTTTGACACCGCGTCGATCGCTCGACCTCGAGCCGGTCGCGACCCCGATCGTTCAGAATGGAACTCCGTCGGGTCCTGCGGCGTCGCCGTGTCCCTCTGTGCTTCCGCGTCGTTCCATCATGCGGGATTCCACCATGAACGCCTTCGCTGGCGTCGCCGGCGCACCATCGCCGCCTGAACCTACCGTGAATGGGAGGTGGAAGAGAACAGGGCCCAACAGGCGCCCTTTAGGGCCCCTGCTGGCTCCCAAACGGGCCATACAGGGCCCCCTTAGGGCCCTTGGCTTCACCCGCCCCCTCCCTTTAGGTCATCTGCTGTTGCCACCAGCCCAATCCTGAGCGCCTCCGCGTCCTCCTCCGGCGAAGACTTCGCGATTGCGCCGTCGGTGGCCTTGCGCGCACCGCCATCGCCGTCACCGTCGCCATTGCCGTCACCGTCCGCGTCGGTGCTGTTTTGACGGTTTGTCGGGAAAAGCTGTTGCGTCCTTGCTGTGTCGACGTTTCTGTGCCGTCGCTGTCGTCCTTGGCGTGTTGCCGCGTCGCGTCGGAAATGGTCGTGCGTCCGTGCCATGTGCGTCTTTGCGTCCTTGCCGTGTAATTGCATCCTGGCCTTGTCGTTCGTCCTCGACGGTTTCGTTTTTTGCCGTGCCATCGTTGTTCCGATGTTTTTTTTGACATTTCAGGAAGTTTCGGAGGTTCTCGGATGCTCCCAATGGCTTCTGGAGAATCTCGGAAGTCGTCGTCATCGTCGACGTCGTCGAACTCGTCGTGTTCGTCCACGTCGCCGTCGCTGTCGCTGTCGTCGGAGAAGGAAGAAGAGTAGCACGAGGAGGAAAAGGGGGGGCGGGAAGGAGGGATGGAGAGAGGGAGAGAGGGGATTTTGTTGTTCCCAACCCTCCTGTGGTGTTGGGTCCTCGTTTTGAAGAGACGGTCCCCGCGTTCTTCTCCCTTCCTCCTTCGTTCCTTCATTCCTTCCTCCTCCCCCTCCTCCTTCCGCTCCTCCCATATTTCGTGGCCCCTTAAGAAGCTCCACCGAAGGCTCCAATGGGACCGCCCGCTTTGAACTCCCAAGAATTGCGTTCTGGCGCGATCTATATTTGTCAATGCGCAAAGGCCACCATGATTTGCGGCAAAGTTCCAGGAACGGTAATTCGGCGCGAGTTAGGATTGCACAGCCATGCTCACCCGTGAAGTTCAAATGCCAGGAATGTTCTGGCACGGTTGCAGATTCTCAGAATGTTGTGTTCTGACGGGCTGCTCTCTGCATGTGCAACAAATTCTTGCACAGACTTGTGAACGACAAAAAACTCAGCAGGATGGTGTATTGCAGCATGACTGATGCGTCTTGGGTTTCCACTGGTCCTTTTCCTCATCGTCGTTCTCCTCCTCCTCCTCCTCCTCCTCGTTCTTCTTCCCCTCACTCTTATAATTCTTTCTTTTTCCCCCAATAGTGTTTGCACTTAGGGTTTCTTGCGTCTTTTCTAAGGCACTGGGCCTCACTGGCGATCTGGCGGCTGCGTGCTCGCCGTCGCCGCCCGGTCGCCGCCTCGTCGCCGCCCGTCGTCTAGGCTTGGCTGGCGATCTGGCCGTTCCCTGCTCGCCGTCGCCCAGTCACCGTTTCGTCGCCGCCCGCTGTCGCCGCCCCGCCACCGCCCGTCGTGTAGGCCTGGCTGGCGGTCTTGCGGTTCTATGCTCGCCGTCGCCGCCCCGATGTCATACAACACAGGCTACACCACAGATGTTGCACGACATGTGCACTTTCTACACACATACATATACACGTATATGTACGGCACCACATATCTTCGCGTTTCTAAAGACGAGTCGATTCCATTTCCATCCCGAGGGCTGGGTTACCAGCCCCCCTGTGGCGATGTGCAGATTACGGATGGTTCTGCCATACGTTCCCAAGCCAACAAATCCACCGACCCTGTCGGCGTGTGTGAGGGGCTTTTCCGTGTGCCTCATCGTCGTTGTCTCCTCCTCCTCCTCCTGCTCCTGCTCCTGCTCCTCCTCCTGCTCCTCCTCCTCCTCCTCCTCCTCCTACCCCTCCTCCTACTCCTCCTCGTCCCCCTCCTCCTCCGCGCCAGCCAAGCCGACCCATGCAGAA